TCTTCCCAAGATGTGCCTGTGGCTCGCACCCCTCTCCGTCTTCCCCTTCTCCTCCGTCTCGCTCTCGCGCTCGCCCGCTCCAGTCCAGCGTGTCTGAGTCGGCAGCGTTTGGGGGCTTTATCCTGTGGATCTTGACCTGAACAAGTACATCAAGAAGACAAAGAACTGTGGCGCCGTCATGGACTGACTTCCGAGCTTTCATCGCGCGTTGAATTCTGATCACGAGCGCAAGAGACCATGCAAGGCCTAATAAGCGCAGCCTAGATTTCCAGAGTTCTAAAGAGGCAAAAAAGAACTAGACGACAGGGCGGCCCGAAAGCGCAACGCGTGCGTGAATGCTCCACTCAAAACACGCTTTGGCAAACTGCAACGCAATCATGAATGACACATGACGACGCGCGCAAAAAGTTCTGTCGTTGTTCAATATGTCATGTTTTGTCTCAGAACGCCAGTGGGTCACGCATCTTTCTACTTGTCGCATCTTGGCTTGTCAGCAACACGACGCGCTTACAGTACGCCATCCGTGTTTTGGTATCTGGTCCTGTCTTTGGGCCTGTTCGCGTCATCTGAGAATGTTCAAAAGTGCTTTTGACGAGTGTCAGATTTGTAGCGTGGCGAGGTGTCCTCGGCCGACTTGAGCCATGCAGAGTGACATAGTTTTCTGGCGCGGTGAAAAGCGCCCTGATTTGTGATGTGACAGAAGAGCTCTGAGTTGCAACTGAACCCCCAAATTGCAGACGTAATTTCGCCACACGGTCTCACAGATTAGATAAAACAGTGTATGGCCAAGCCTCGCGGGCGCCACCAACGCCGCTCCCCAGCAACACGCTGCGTTTACACCAGCGTGTTCCCTTCCCCTTCGCGCACGCGCTTTCCACCGACGCCTCGCTAAACTACATGGCGCAGCGACATCGCAGACAATTCGCCGCACGGCGCGCAACATTACAACAATGTACGCCAAGCCTCGCCAAGCCGCCCCGCAGCAATGGTGACACGCCGCGTTTGCGCGCGTTTCCCTTCCCAACGGCGGCGGACTCATGCAGAGGCGCTTTCCACCGTGGCCACACAAAACCGATTGCGCAGCTCCCGGCCAACAGCAGATTCCCACACCCCACTTGCGCGACTTCTGAGGCCAAGCTGCTTCCGGACTAGATTTAAGCCACAACGGTCTTGACGACGGTTAGATTTAAGATGAGTGCTCCGCGGAGCTACGCTTCAGAGATGCGCGGTGAACGTTAGCTCTTTACATTACTGCGTTAGCCGACGAATACTTAGCACTTGACTTGAAGTAACGGAAAGAATGCCAGATCAGGCAAACTGTTTCAGTAAGGGTGATATGTGAAGAATTGAACAAAAAGCAATTCGTAGGTACAAGAGCCGCCGTCCCAGCTCTCTTCCAAGAGAGCTTCATTGGCACGGATGGGAAATCGTCTCCATGCCCCCTGTGGTTGAACTGTACAGGTTGAGTGAAAGAGCGGTAAGAGTGGTAGGTAGTGTGTAAGTAGCGCCCCTGGAGACCGGGTTTGACACACACAACTTGGCGAAGTCGGCGCAGCTAGAAGTACAAAGTGCAAAAGTCAACTGTCAGTAAGCAGCAGCATTGGATTCTTTTTCTGATGGCGACGGGGCTGCAACGCTGCAGCGCAGTGTATTGGCGAGTGACCTTTTGTCACGTAAAGCTGAACAAGTGCTTGTGTTGAGGCGCAGGCAAGTTCTGGCGGATATGTATATTGTTGTATGGTGCGATGTCGTGATTGTAGGCCGGAAAGTCTCAGTCTGTGGCTTCCTGCTGAGTGATTGTCATGTATCTGCCATGAATGGTGGGAAGTTGGAATGTGAGTGTTCGCGTTTGTGGGTTGATGAGGAAGTCAAGGAGATGGTCATCCTCTACTGGCTCGATTTCAACTGGGCGCCCGTAAAACTCTGCATGAGCAAGTGTTGCGATGAGCAATGAATGAATGAATGAATGAATGAAGGAAGGAAGGAATCTGAAGGAATGAATGAATGAATGAAGGAAGGAATGAATGAAGGCAGGAAGGAAGGAAGTTGCCGTTGAGCAACAAGCATCTGTTGTCGACGTATCGTGTGTTGAAGAGGTGGAGGCTGGGTTGTTGAAGGAAGGTGTGGTGTGTGTGTCATGTCAGGCGTGTTCGATGAGAGTGATGGCAACGTTGTTGCATAAGGCAGGGAAGAGTTGGCTGCCGATGCGTGCTCCTTGTATCTGCTGGAAGTAGGTGTGACATGCTTGGAAAATGCATGAGCGAAGTGCTTGTTGAACGATCAGGGGAATGTGGGCTGTGTCGAGGGTGCGTTGTTGTGGGTGGTGAATGTAATGTCTGCCAATGTGAGAATGTTGAATGGGGTTGCCGGTGGAGCGCGCGTCGATTGTGAGGGTAGTAGTATAGTAGTAGTAGTAGTAGTAGTAGTAGTAGTAGTAGTAGTAGTAGTA